CAACAAGTTGCCGCTACAACTACGACGCATCATCATCAGCATCAACATCATCGTCATCATCATAATCATTCTTCTTCGAGCGCTGTCGTGGAGGCGACGGAGATTAAGGGGAGGAACATTCTAGAGCTGGATCTGAACCTGCCGGCGCCGGAGGAGGATCTCCGGGACACGAAGAAGTTCCAGTTCACGACAACCCCACAAACAATTGTGTTCTCCGCACCAACCTTGGTGGATTGTCATTATTGAAAACCGGAATCAAATTGAAGAAAAAAGTAAAAAAGAACCCAAAACCAAATATGGGGGATAAATGTGAATCCTGTTTTTAATTTTAGCTTATAATTAATCTTGTTACTTCGTTCTTTTGTTATAATCACAAATTAATTACTCCCATTATATATAGTGATTAAATATATTCTTTGAAGCTATATATGAATATATTGGTTATCTACCCATTGAAAGTGTTGAATCCGAAGAATACTTTGAGTAAGAGTGGTTGTTGGTGTTCTTATTTGGGTTCCACCTTCCATTCACGAAAAGTGAGTGATTTGTGTTACCTTTTTCTCCTCATATTGTCTTCATTTTCTCTCTCTTTTTCCTAACCCATCAAAAAAGATTAAATTTTTATGGAAAATGTTTGAAGCCCATAGAGTGTGGGGAAATTGTAAACCTGGTACATAAAAAAAGAATAAATTTTTTTATAGAAATTTGAACTCATAATTTTTTGGTCAGAAATAGATACAATTACGGTTCAACTCAATTCATGTGGRCTAGTCTCCTCGAGCAGGAGAAAAATAGTAAAAGAGAGTGAGTAAAGAGAAAAAAAAAAAGAGTAGTGTGAGTGTGTGAAATGGAATTGGGTAGGGTTTGGCAGCTCCACCACCACATCTAATAAAGCCCATGCCCATGGATAGGTTCTCTCTTTTCATATGCTCTTTGCTTTGCTTTGCTTGCAAATATGTCTCTCTCTCTCTCTCATATTAAATGACAAGAAATATATGGATGGCAGGCTGAGTTGGTAACTAAGCATGCCAAATGGATCCACCTGTCTCTTTCTCTCTCTAACTCTAAGTGGGGGATTTTATTTATTTATTTATTATTTTATTGATAAATTAAATTGAATAGTACAGCTCAATTTTAGTTCTAAGCCTAACAGTTACACCTAAGTGAAGTGACCAACTGTATTATCCCTTATTTTAGAAGCTACTTTTAACCAACATCGGCAGGGGTGGGCCCCACCAGCAGCTCCCTTTCTTTCTGTGTATTCGTGGGTCCCACTCCCGCTGTCCCCTTCGTTGCCCGATAAAGATACTCTCAAACTCTTTACCACAAGCATTGGGCTTGGATAAGTGGGCCTCGGGTCCAACCATTTCTCTGGGCCCACCTTCTATTTTTCTTTTTTCTTTTTTTTTTTAAATACAATACCTCTTTTTTCCTTTTTCTGGTTGTGCCTTGTTGAATGTTGTGTATATACTTCTCAATCCACTACACTAATTCTCTCTCTCTATATATATTTTTAGAAGGAAGATTTGGACAACTAGTATTTAAGACAAATATATAATGATTGAACGGGTTGAGTTATACTTATGTTAGCTTTTAATTCATATTTAATGGTTATAATAGATATTGATAACATGTGGGGATGAGCCAAATTACAAATACCAAAATTGAGTAACTCACCAACAATCACTCCATCACAAGTTTATTGAGAATTATGGTCCTCATTAATTATAACATTTCAAGTCGCCTTTCTCATCTCAAGAGAGCGTACATAGTTTGTTATGTTGGGAGAAAAAAAAAATCAAAGAAAGCAGCATGAGTGGAATGTCAGATTTGTAAATTGGCATTTGGATAATGAATTCATGTGCACTTTTACAATTTTTAGGGTTTATTTACTCAAATAGAATACCCTTTTAAATGAATTTATAATTATTTGTTTTTATCATGGATGTGAGATGACTGAACAAATATCTACTGACAGGTAAAACTTTTGAAAATTTATTACATGAAAAAAACTTAGGTGAAAGTTAGGAAGCCTAACAAAAATTATGTATGCATGGAATTGTATAGGGAGGGGGGGTCCCAAAAAAGGATGAGGTTCATGATTGGCACATGTTGCATCATGCTATCTTGTCACATTATAAAGTGTAGAACTATTAGATTTTACTGAATATAAAGTCACTATTTTAGAACATGATTTGATTTTGATATTATTTTATGGAGGTGTGAAAATATTTGAGTTATGTGCATTAATTATAAGAAGAAAAAAAAAAGAAAAGAAAAAAAGGCTGCAGCAGCAACAGCAAATGAGAAGGGGACAGGTGGGCAGTTTGAAGTTGCAAAATATGAATCTCTAAAAATAAAATTAAAAGCTTGTCGGGTAGGCTGGCAAATGCAATATCTTGTATAGTGCAAGGGAGTGGGAGTTATATTCTCTAAATTTTGAAATCTAAACTGATAATAATTAGACTGGATTTAGTTCTTAATCTTTTTAAAGTATTAATTTGATTCTTAATGTCTTAATTAGCTAGATATTCACCTAAAAATTTATGTTAAAATTTGTGAACATAAAATTAAAGTGAAATTAAATTGTTGTTTTATTAACTGATGAAGATGTGAGTGTAAGCTAAAAGAATGATTAATTTGGCTGAATATATTAATAAAAGAATGATTAAATATATTCTCTGAATATTAGAGTTGGAAATTAGGGAATGGCCGTTAAATAAACAGAGGACAGGCAATCCGACCGACAACTGCTATGTTTTGCCGGCCAATTTGTACTTTGGTTCAAGCTGGACATGTTCTGGCAAAAGGCAAGACAAAAGCCTGTCATGTACAATTCAATTTCTTTGGTTCATTTTTAAAAGTGCAAATTTGTTACCATATCCACCCTCTTTGTATCTTTATATACTTGTATAATATAACGTACCATATTTTAATCTAATTTGATTAGAAAGGTTTTGTATCAATATATGTGTTGGATTATGTACTTTCTTTTATTTAACAAAATGTCATGTTAGTAAATTTAAAGTTGATATTAAAAGTTAAAGATAAAATATAATTTGAAGCCCCCCCAACGTAACAGAAGTTTTAGAACTTTATGTAAAAAAAGCTTTGTTTGCCAAAACGAGTATAGTTCAGCGCTTATTGGCATATACCTCCAACCAAAAGGTCGTGAGTTCAATCCCCTACTCCCACATGTTGTACTAAAAAAAAAAAAAAACTTTGCTTGCACCAATCTGCCTGATTACATCCCTTTTCAACACAACGTATTTCAATTTTTTTAGTTACAAGTTATACTTCTCTTTTTCATATTCTAGAACATTTGTGGATTTTTTTTTAGTTCTAAATTTTTTATGGTAAAAAATGGGTTCTTTTATGTTTTTAGAAGATAAGAAACTATAATATAAATGTATTAAAAAATTCATTCAGATCATCAAAAAGTTGCTGTGGTGTAGTGGTTATCACGTTAGTCTTACACACTAAAGATCCCCAGTTCGATCCTGGGCAGCAACAATTTTCATGAAATCTATTATATTTGTTTTTTCAAAATTTTGCAAACTAGCTTTAAATAAATACATTTAGCACTTATGTCATCAATTAATTGTTGTGGTGCAGTGGTTATCACGTTAATCTTACACACTAGAATAACACTAAAGGTCCCCAATTCAATCCTGGGCAACAGGTCATGATTTCGAATTTTCCACCGCCACATGTTGCATTTTATTGAGTTTTTTTGGTAAAAATTCAGAAGATTTTAAAAATATATATTTTATATTTTGATCATGTAGAGGAAAGTTCAACCAAAAAGAGAAAAAAAAAGGTCTGATTTCTGCTATTTTTCTTCTTGTTTTTTTTTTTATATTCAACAACGTGACCTGAATTTCAGGTAGAAATTGGAACCTCTATCCTTTTGGTAAAAAATATAAACCTTAAATATGCTCAGGTTGGCACTTAACTTCCTGTTGGGTTTGTGAGTTTATAAGAGATAAAAATAAATGTAGCCTGTGAGATTAAGATAAATAAGCTCACGTACTAGGCATAGTCTGAAACGTTTTTACAGTCAAGTTTGGTTTTGGTTTTAAGTGGGTATGAGATTCTTCTTTGGGTGTATAGATATTCTCAAACAAATTTCTTCGGCAAATTTCTAAATCAAGTGAATAATTGTTTCTTCGGCAAAGAAATTTCATGTGGTCGTCTTCTACTTTGGAAATGAACTAACATCGACTTACAGTGCACATTATTGATAAGAAGCAACATTCAAAACAAATCACTTCTTAGTGTAAGTTTGAGCATTCAAAATAAATCACTTCTTACTATAAGTTTGATGGTCGGGTCCGACGTCTCGAGAACCAGTGTTTATGTAAGGACCTCGAAAAGTTGCCTGCGGAGGAAGTGGCTTTCCCGGATCAATAACTGGCTTTTTGGAAGACCTGTATAACCCTTTTCTACATTAACTTTGTGTGCATATTCATTCAAAGGCATAGTAAAATTGTCGGTAGCAGCCATGAGTCCATTTACTTACGCCATGTAAAAGGGAAATGCCAACCCAGCAGATGCAAAGGCTATCAATCCAGTGGCAACGATAATATTTCGACGACGTGTCATCGGGTATTCTATCTATGATATGAATACAAACCTACAAAACAAGTTGAAATTCAGCTCCACTTTTCAGACATTGTGCACAAAATTGGTTAGGTTAGAAGTTTAGTCCACCAACTTTCAACGTTTGTCTAAACAATCCTTCAACTTTAAAAAGTGTCTCATAGGTCCCTAAACTTTCAATTTTCTGCCTTCTCTGAACTTACTAGTGTCTAATAGGTCCTATCAGACATCTTATAGAAAAAATAGGTCCTACCAGAAGTAAAATTGAGAGTTTAGAAACTTATGAGACATTTTTTAAACGACACAATTCTAAAAATTCCAGAACTAAAATAGTAATTTAACTCACAAAATTCCAATATGCTGAAATTCAAGTAGTTATAATAGGAATATGGGTCTGCAAACAAACAGGGCAGAAATAAACAAGTTGGCAATATAACAGATAACAGAACTTTTGGTTTAAAAAAGTGCAACAAAAAGGCTTCATATGCACATCCATCATCAGCCAATAAAGAAAAAGAGAGAACTAAACAGAGCAACGAAGACAGCAAGGAAAAGAAAGGGGGGCATTTTAGAACCAGAACTGTAAGGCAGACAGCAATTAATGTTCTGTCAACTTAACCTACAAAGAACCTTATCTTACAAGAAAGCACCCACCACCTTGATTTGACTAGAGGAAGGAAAGGCTCTACAGAAATCAACAACGAGGTTACTTCTACCAACACCAACTCTGTATGATAGAACCATGTTCAGTTGATTAGAACATCTTCCAAATTTCTTGCCGACAATATATATGTTCATACTGGGAGACAAATGTATCAAATACTCTCATGTTGAATAAGAGAACATTATGAAAACAACTGTATTGAATAACCTAACAACGACAATATGAGATGGAAGCTATTGTAATCATGCAGCATTCTCAATTAATTGCCAATAAAGCCATATAACAATCCACAAGTACGAGCAAATCACAACACTTTTGCAGCTTAGTGAGAATTTCATAGAACGGCTATCTTAAACTAAGAAACGTAAGCTCCATCTCCATGGATTCATACATAAAAAAAACAGCTAGTTGAGCACCAAGTAAAGTAGCGCTTTTTCCCACTAATTAAAAACGAAAGAAAAACCACCTAAGATAAAGAATAACAAAACATGTCCACAATTGACAGCTAGCTTTACACTTTAATGATCAACCTCAACAACGAAATCCAAAAATTAAGCACTGCAGGTGCATAATCCGAGCATGAGGCCTAAAACTAATAGAATCAATGTAATGCGTTCCTGGAAACAAATGGCAAGAATAGCATCGTCTCAGGAAAAGCATGAAACATGGGTAATATAAACAAATTGAACAAATCTGCAGAAATGAATTCTAATCAAATGATAGAAAGAATTCTAGAACAAATTTCGATTGAAAGCAGTAAAGTATAAGAAAACCCTAACAGAAAAAGAGGAGAGGGCATCCGTACCGAGGGATTTGGAAATGAGAGTGATAGCGATTCAACTTCAAAGAGCAAATAAGGGATCTGATACTGAATTCATGGACCTGAACCGAGTCACTTTGATTGTGGAGCTCCGGTGATCTGAGTTCTCACTTCTGAAGAGTTTAAGCCTTGAGCCATACACGCTCACAGGCTCACCGTTTTTGTTTTTACATTTTTTAAATTTATAAAAAGTCAGAAAGAAAAAATAAAGTGCGACACATTTTTGCCGTATTTTGTTGGTTTAATTTTAAAATTTTAAAGACATTTTTAGACTCTTAATTAAATTTCAGAAACAAGAAATAAGTAAAATACCTCAGGCAGGAGATGGATCTAACAATAGTTTACCAGAATTACTACTAGCTGTTCGCTTTGGCAGAAACACAAAATTAAAATTTAAAAATGTTTCTTGAATGAATTACCATATACTAATCAAAGTAGAATCTTATGTCAAATTTTAGGCTGAGATTAAGGGTTGTATCCAATATTTTATAGAAAAGAAAAAAAGAGTTGTAGCTAATAAATTTGTAAATACTAAAAATTATTCTTTAAATAATAACTCTTTCAATAGGCCATAATTTGGTTTTGGTTAAAGGGAGAGACTGCTGTGGGAATGAAATCCATGGATGAAATTAGAAATTAATGGGGAAAGAAAGGAGTTTGAAGAGCTAACTTTTACCTCTAGAATCTATAACGAAGTGGCAAATTCTTTTGATCAACATGTACAAATAGAGCAACACGTGTGGATGGTATGAATGTCTATGAATTCTACCTTTTAGTTTTTCTATTTTATGTATTAAAAAATACTTTAAATAGTGTCTAATAAATTCATTAATTTGTAATTTTGTACTTAGGAAAATTTTTTCTAACAAATTAGATAAAGTTTATAATCCATCGAATACAGAATTTTAAATATCTAAAATAAATCTTTATTAAATGATTTATTAGATATAAAATTGGAAGTTCTAAATTTTTTTCTTTTTTCAAGTACAAGAAGACGATTATTTGAACTCACATTTTTTTTTTGTTAACTGAACTTATGTGACGCCATTTTGCTTGAACGAAAAAAAAAAAAACATTTCCAAGCGGGCTCATCCTTTACTTTAACTGCCATTTGTCTCTCGCAAAACTTCCCAAAGAAGACGAAACGAAACCAAAAACTCTTGACCCCATCCCCATCCCTATCCCTATCCCTTAAGCCGATGTCAACGCCCCCGCTGCCGGCGCCGGCGCCGGCCGCCCTTTCTTCCGACGGCCACACCAATCAATTTCAATTCACGGAGGAGGAGGAAGTGAAGCTTCTCAAGTGCTACCTGAAAATCGCAAGATCCGCGGAGAATTCCCAACCCAGTCTGGATTCTCCGGCCTTGGATCGCATCGAGAGAGCCCTCGGCCCCAAATTCAGCCAGATCCACATCGCCGACAAGCTCCACAGGCTCAAGCTCCTGTACCACAAATTCGCCAGAACCAAGTCCTTCGTCAAGACCCCCCACCACCGCCGGATCCTCGACATCGGCCGCCGCATCTGGGGCAAATCCCCCACCCCCACAACCAGAACAAAACCCCATAAGGTAATTTTACGCACAACCAGAAAAAATTCAGAAACCCCTTCTCAACTCTCATTCTCAGTAGCAAAAAAAGAAGTAGGGGTTGGAGCTGGGGCTGATCTTAACAAGTTCCCTCTTCTCGTGGGCGAATTTTCTCGGCTGTTTCCGGGAAATGTGGTGTGGAGAGAGGTGATGAGGGGTCTAGAGGAGAAGATTTTGATGGGTATGAATCAGAATTGGGTTTTGTTGCACATTGAAGAGGCAGAGTTGAACGCTAGAAGGGCTGCGTTATTACACCACCAACTCAGAAGCACACTCACAGACACTGAGGATCAGTGAGGATCTCAATTTCTTGCAGTTTCTTCTCCAATTCAGAAATCTTCTGTACCATACCAATTACCATAGTTCCAGGAAGTRAGCATTTCTTTAAGTTTGTCACYGTTGCTTGTTTTTCGATTGTGAAGCTAATGGTACAGCTTAGAAGTAGGTGGTGGGGTGGAGTTGTATTGTAGTTGTATTGTGTCTGGCTGACCAACCATTCACTATGTCAAAGTTTTTCTACCATTGTCTTGTTCAATGCATTTAACATTTTATGATTACCCAAAATAGGGATACAAAATTTATGAAAATTTTCTTGTTTTAAAGGCTTCGAACAGTTCCCTAATTATAAGTTCAACTTCATTTATTAAATTTGAGTTATTCTTTAATGTTTTGAATGTATTCTCTATTTAGTTCTTAAATTTTAATATTTTTTAGGCATACCATTTCTAGTGGTAAATAATATTAAGAACGGTTGATATTAAGCTATGTACCATGATATTTACTAAGCTGCCAAAAATTATTGCAACTCACCAAGGACTTGTAACATATTTGTAGTTACAAGAAGGGTATAATTGTAAATTGTCACAAATAAATGGGTAAAGTATTAGCCTAATTTTTAACATATTTATCACTCGTAAAAAAAACATATTTATCACTTGTGCTATAGGGTGCGGCGTTGGGAAAACAGAACTTGCAATACAATTGCAGTCGTGGGATTTGTTAAGGGTAACAGAGATGGTGAGGCCTGGAAATTTCCTGTTTGAGATGATGAGGATAAAATGAACGAAGGGAGCAACAATTATGTTGAGAAAGCATAGCAAATCAAGARCCGGAAGAGATCTAACCTTTTCAAGATCCAGACCATCCAGATTTATTTGAATCATCCAAATCTCTTCTGACTAAAATCATTAAACAAAGAATTTAGAAAAGAATTTTCAGAATCGGATAGCTATATCAATGCAGATTGAGAGCAAATCTGATATGCTGAAATACACCAAAGTTTCGATAAGAAAGCAGTTCATTAAAGTGGTACAATTTCTCAAGTCAATGTTGCAAAATGAAGAACTAATATAATCTCGTACAAGAAAAGGAGCATGATCATTATGATACCGAAATCCATATTTCGTTCCAAAACCATAAAATCAAAGTCACGCAAAAATAAAGCATAAAAATAATTCACCTCTTCACATAGAGTTAAGGATCAAGATCCATCAAATCCACCTTTGGTTCATAGAATTGCAGAGTCCAGCTAAGATACAGAAAGCATATATATAAGCCAAGCCACCTCTACAACCATACAGAGTTGAGGTAAACATAGAAACTCCTGCAGATTTTTTAAGCAGGAAGAGGATTGATACCAAGAAAGTATGTATGGTTTTTCATATTAAAACCATTATATGACTGATTATTGAGTGTCTTCTTTCTTTCCAGTAGCATTTCACATAATCAACCAAATGAAACAGTCATTTAGCAACAACGTTTTGTTGGGCAAGGTTCTCCTGTTGCTGTTGGTAGTTCAGGGGCCTCCTGAATAGCATGATATGCGGCTCGGGACGATGAATAGCATAGTGCACCCACCCACGACTCTGCTGAACTCCAATTGCACGCCACTCATTCTGCATATAGGATTATAGGATGAAAAATAGAACAAAATTCTTCCATGAGATTGAAACGAGTACTCAAATAGATTTGGTAAGCACCCTTTTGCTAAGCTAAGACTAAGAGTAAGAGCAATAATTACTTTACTGAGTTCAGAAGAAAGCCAACAAAATCGAAAGGCATAAATGGTATAACGATTAAAAATGCATAGAGGGAATGCAGGATTGGGAGGCCGGGCGGGGTTTATTGCATCAGTCATAAGCCCTAATTCTCAATCCCTTTGATATAACTTCGCTTAAAAACCGTTCCAAATTTCAAACAACCATCAACCAAATCAAAGAGAGAAAATCAAGATCACTATGAAAACATTAAAAGAGAGGGAAAGAACTGTCCACGATACAATAATAATTTCCTATCAGTCCAAACAAGCACGATGCATTCAATTTTCATCGTCTCAACATCCAAATAGAGAGTAGTAAATTTAAAATCTCTATAAAACAAAACAACTAGAGAGTACTTCCCTCTGCAACAAAATCAAAAGACAAATTAAAAACTACGAAGAACAAATATCTTACTTCAGAGAGCAGGCGACTCTTAGGAAGTAACTTTGCCACTTCGGGTGGGAGCACCACATGCCTGTTCCAATCGGTCCAGTTAGCCATTGATGACAAACACAAACATTTATACAAATCCAAACAATCCTCCATGCCATGACTGCAACAAAGTAAAGAGTTGGATGCTGTGAAAGTAACAATACCTATACTCGTAAATGTCGTCAAAGTACTTCTCAGAGTACTGAATCTGACCCATCTATCAGCGTTTAATCTGCGGCTGTCCGAGAGAATGACAGTGCAAAGTTAAGCGGATTCGGTAGCTTCGATCCACGATACGAAGCAATGGAATGTCTCAATTCTCCAATTTGAAACGAAACTAGGGCTCGGGGACCGAGTGAAATGCCACATTATATAGGAATAATGAAGTTAAAAGTCAGCCAATAAACTTTAACCACGTATTAGTCATTTACGTCATCGGTTCATTCTGTTCCGGTCTTCCTGAAGTATATTTATTCTGGCTAAATATACTCATTTCTAATCTTTTAGATTTTTTTTCGATCTAAAACATTTGGGGAAAAAATAAATTTTGCTAATTAGTAGGTTAAATGTTATTGATGTAGAGTTGAATATCATATGTCAAGTAATATTTGAGATGATAATAAAACARTTATGCAATGATATTTCAATTATTTGTTAATCAATTTTCGGTTAAATTATAAATTTATTTCCCTCTTATTGAATCTCATACTCCTTCAAGTCCTTAAAGAGGTCGTAAAGGTTTGAGTTGGTGATTAGTACATTAATAGAACTATAATTACATAAAATGATTGCATGATATAAAATTTGCACTTTTGTCATAAAACAACCTCGGGATGGTACCCATCACCTTACTTTTTGTATCTAATCTCACTATTAATTAATTTTAAAAATCCAAAATTAGCAACTTGAGAGGTTACATTTTCAATTATTTTTTCCTCTTACTTTTCTTCTTTTTCTATCATTTTGTTTCCGTTCATTCCTTCGTCTCCGGCTGCCGTCTCCGTTCTTCTACGTAGTCGAAACAATCCGTCTAGCTTTTCCTTCGTCTCCGGCCGTCCGTCCATTGTTTCTGTTCGTTTATCCCGAGGTTTCTTTTTTGTCGACAGCCGCCCGTCGATCATTCCAGCACTCCATTTATCTCAACCATTGTCTAGTCGCCGACCAGAAGGTTTGTAGGTTATTTGCTTTGCTTGTTAATTGTAGAGGGATATAGTCGTATATACTTTATAGCTAGATATAGGTTATATCTCCATATAAGTGTATGTTATAATGACTATAGTTTATATCACCATTGTTAAGTGTATGTTGTTAAGTTTATAGCCGGATATAATTTATATTTCCATATAACTGAAAAAGTAGTCAGATATAGTTTATATCTCTATATAAATATATATATATTTCTATATAATTGTATGTTATAATGGCTATATTATTGAAATTTGGCTAAAAAAATGTAATAAAATGAAAAAATATTTGTAATAAATTTCATTATTTAGTAGAATATATTAAGGAGTAAATTTGGGGATTATGATAATAATTGAATATTTTGTAGTAAATTTCATCTTAAGCAGTGAATTAGGGAATTATGAAAATGATTGATTTAGGTCGCACAATAATTTAATGTTTACAAAATCAAATTTGGAATATTTATCTTTTGTAAAATTTGTAAACATTGGACCATTTATGAAAATAAGTTTGCAAAATAACTTTAAGACATTATCTCTTTGAGTATTGTTGAACCTAACCCAACCCAAACCAAAYCAATTCAAGTAAACTCCTTGCACTCCTACTCAAACTATAAATAATTAGGAATTTRTTAACTTAGATACATTTTTCTAAAACGRAAACAATATTAATCAATTAATTAATTACACATAAAATTCAACATTGTTATCTATTTTGGTACCTATAAAATCTCAAAATTTGAGCTTTAGAATATATTGAGACCCTATGCATAAATCCTATTGGACTTTGAAATAATCGATGTTGAAACCCTCAAGTGTTATTCAATTAATGTCGCATTAGAAAATGAATCTCCTCTAGTAGTCTTTTTACCAAAAAAAATAAAAAAGAAAGAAAAAGGAATTGAAAAGATGGACGGCAAGCACGAGACAAGAATGATTTCTACTTCTATTTTGAAAATTGACATTAAACTTCAAAGTCCACAAAATATTATTGGTTGCTATTGCTATACTTCTCTTTGGCTCTCTATCCACAATTCACGTTCAAAAAACAAAACAAAAAACTCCATGATGCTAAGAAGCTGAAAGAATTATCCCACTCCCAAGAGTTGGGAGTGCCAAGGCCAAATAGACAAAATTTTGGAAAGCTTCCTTCCCTTTCTTTCTCCACAACCCCTTTCAAACCAACTACCATCCCTTTCTTTCTTCATTCTTCTGTACACTAACAAAAAAATTTGATAACCCTGTATCATATTCATGTTCCTGAGGGTAGTATAACCATTTTTCTGTACACAAAAAAGAGAAAACAACACCACAACCCTCCCCCTCCTATCCCTATTTATAGATATCATCAGGGCAAGTGGGCTTGCTTGCTTTCCACTGCAAAAGAATTTCATTCACTGTCACTCATCTATTTTCTACTGTTCCTTCCTTCAGCTCTCTGGGTTTGCTGCACTACTAATTACACGATATTGCGGTACCGTCTTTTGCAGCACCGACGTCCCTTGGAAGATCATCATCTGGTAATGTTTCTTGTACTCCCTTACCTGCAATCAAAACACATGTTTTTCAACACACCACACTTTGGTTTTTAATTTTTCTTTATAACATGCAATCCTTGTACTGTAAAGATTAGTTCACCTCTTCAGGAGGCAACTTGCTGAATCCAAACTTGTTAATCCACAACGGTTCGGCTTCGTCTGCAGCAGGCAGGACTAGATTCTTCACTTTCAAAAATCCGAGGAACCTCTCAATGCATGAAAATAAGGATTGGAAATAGCCCTGAAAATACAGTCTTCTTTATGAGCCATGTTTCTCGAGTCAAAAGGGATTTGGTTTTTCTTCATGGCAAAGGGAGATGAAAGTTACCTGTCCTTGAAAGTTGGTGTCTGTCGCTACTAAAGGAAGCTCAGCTACTTCACTCCCAAATATACGAAATATTCCAGCGGACACAACAGATTCACTACAAGAAACATAGATAAATCTCAAGTGATAAAATTTCAAGGATAAAACTCAACCTTCAGAAACCAAGTCATGATTCTTACTTCACAGTTAGAACTGCACAGTATATCCCACCAAATTCTTGACCCCTGATGTTCCTCCTGCACAGCAAATAAGTTCACAAAATKACTCTCAACAGCAACAACGCTCACAATTTCAAAGCAAGATGAGGAAACAAATCATAGAGAGAATGAAAGAAGTATATAATTATTTACCCATAAAGCATTGACGGAATGAAGTCTCTCCCGGAGGCAGAGTCAACTATGGGGTCAAAACAATCCTGAATTTACAAAAAATTGAAATGGTTGGCAAACAGAAGTCAAGAGTAACTGTTAAAACCTGAAAYATATTGAAAGATAAATGATAAACGAACTACARTAGCTACCAAGTATTAGAGGTACTTGGACCCTCCCCTCTTGAGATATCACTCAATTGGATACCTTCACTCTTACACCCCATTCTATTTATAACAACACTCCCTAACAACTTTCCTATCTAATTACTAAGGTACCATCAATACTGTAATAATATCCCTTTATTATCCTAAGGGCAATCCCTATCAGTAACGTCCTCTAAACAATCTATTAATAAATACTGGCAAAAAACTACTGATAGTCACTCACATGGAAAATAGAAACAGCCTTTGAAAGCAATGATCTAGTTTCATCAGAAGACGACATTTTCCAATTGAGGACCCGCCATCGAATTTCAAGACTATTCATGCTTCCTGAACCTTTATCTTCAATCTTTTTCCGTACAGCACCCAAAACGGACTCAGGAAGTTTCTCTCCTCCCAAAACCACCAACTTCTCCAATGCAGAATGTATCCTGTTACACCCTGGACAACAGAACCACTTCCCTTGAGGGAGTTCCTGCAATAGTAATCGGATCAAAATTTTAAATATCAGAGGAACAACATTTATCACTTGCAACAAAACTGCAGATAAAAATGGCGTAGGGGGCCACCTTAAGATCTTCCATGTTGTGTTCCTTCAAGCAGCCAACATGAAACTCCTTCTCACACTGGAAAAATGTTGCCATTTGTTACTTTAGGATTAAGAGAATAGTGGTAAAAAAGGAAAACAAAACGACTTGCTAGATATTAAAAAAAAAAAAAACCTTCATAGAATAATACCTGATCACAAAGAATAACAGTTCGAGGACCGAAACCTGACTTGCTAAAATCGTGGCATCTACAACAGTTGAGACCACCATTTAGAACACTTCAAGAAACATTAGAAGGCAGAACCACCCATGCAACAAATATACTGAGGTGCCAAAAATGTGAAAGCATTCAAGCAAAAAACAAAAACCTGCACAATGCACATCCACCAACTTCCGCTTCTATATTTCTGACAATACGAATACATCTTGTTGTTATCTGTTCAATAGGATCAACACCAGCAACTCTCCCAGCGGCAACAGCATTTGCATTGTGCTCCACAAATTTTTCCTTTTGGAACAAATTCTGGCAGTATTTGCAGTACCAGGTACCAGTAGGGATACATGGTAAAGGAACACAATCTGGAATTGGCCAAGCAAAAATGTCAAATAGAAAATAACTGAAGAACGGATAATATCTGCACTACCATGTATACTGATGCATAAATCCAATGCAGCACCCATCTTCATTTCAAGATCATGATGCTTGTATTTATGCATTCATGCTTATGAAAGAGTTACTAATCAACAAATCTCCCATCGTAGGACCCAGAAATAAAAAATGAGACTTTTCAAATTTGTGGACAAACCAACAAAAAAAGATACATCTTTCAAYGGGCAGTGTAATCACCTCTGTGAAAAGCCCTGGGACAGCCATCACAACACAACAGATCCCCTCCATCTGCACAAATGCTGCACAAGTCGTCGTTATCATTGGGAGAGAACTTCCGTCCTCTTGATAGAGATATGGACAACTCATGCAGAGACACCCCATTTGATGTGTAAATGTGCAAGTATCTGCRGGGSAGGGTACACTAGTCCAAGTCAAAACAAAAACCAATTATATCAACTACATATTATAAACAAAGATTCGTTTCTGTCAAAACTCCACGACTATCTGTCTAATTTTCACTCTCATCAAGGCATAAAAATTACCACTAGCATAAGATAAGTGAGATGAAAGAATTTCTTATTAACTTATTCTTGTGTTTAAAAAAGAAAACATCGTGTCCAGGAAGAACTATATCAAAATAAACTAAGTAAATACTCACGGCTTGCGCCTTGATGCCCAACCAGCATGAGATTCAAACTGCGACGGACTAACCTACTCAATTAAGCAAAAGTCAATCAAAGCTCTTGCAAATCTTCAAGATCAGAAATGTTTCAACGGAAAAATAGTACCTCAGAGTTGCAGCAGCTACAAAAAATACCAAACCCCTTTTTATACCCAACCAACAATTTCTGCAACAAAGGATGAGATGAATCAACGTGTGTGTGTGTGTATATCAATGAAAATTAAAAAGAACTAATTGATTGTTAGTCTATGACTTAAATTTTTTTTTAAAAAAAAAAAAAAAACCTGCCCACGGGCATAATATGCAACTTCAGTTCCATCGGGTAATATATCTTCCTCAAAGACTAACTTGTGCAGCCGTAGATCCCTGTTAGAAGGATATGACTTTTGAGATAATACCCATGAAATAAACAATAATACATTACAGGTTACAACTTGCAAAAATAGGAAAGGAAGAAAAAGAGGATGTCAGAACATATCAACATAAACAGAACCGCACAACCCGTGTATAAATGATAAAAATCACTTACTTCCTAGTTAATCTTCCATGACCTTTACCACGTGATGAACCACTCTTAGATGCGGTATCAGATGACTTGAGAAGTAAATTTGGTTTTGGAGTTCTGAAACATAAGTTACAGATATAAAGAATACATTTTAAAATCTGTGAGTATATAAAATGCATTGGTGGTCTGAGATGTGCTACATTTTCTAAACTTGAATTTGAATTCCAATATCCGATGTTCTTTCCTAGAACAGTGTGATAAGGATAGTAAATCTATGCCTATAAATACATGTACAGCTACCAAAATATGAGATCAAGGACTCTGTAAATTATCAAAACAACCAAAATCTATACACATCAATATTCCATTTCATTGTAAAAATWAAACGATTTATTCAGTGCAGAAGAGGAATCCAACCATTTACACCAAAGCCTTGGCAAACAATGATCCTTGACTATACTTGACGAGTCGCTAATACTGGAAGTAGCAACACTGGAAGTAGCAACAGAATTCTGCTATGATACTTGCACAATGAAATAATATTGTTGAAACTTGCAAGTAGCAGCCAGTACACATAAGCAAATCAGCTGACGGTACATTATGGAGAATTATGCATTTATGCCAAAATAATTTAATGAACAGACCAGTCGCTAATAAGCAAAAGGTTAACAAAGAAAGAGTCCAAAGATGTTGCACTGAGACGAAAATACCAATCCACCAGTCAATCTTAGTCTACTTGACAAAAGTTTCCATTGCCCTGCTTTAAAATACACGCCTACACAAATAAGCTTCCTCACTAAGATGTGCACCCTCAGATAAGAGGCCCATGTTGCAACGCACCTTAATTTACTCTTTGTTTAGATATATAAAATTATCTATATCATTACCCATTGAAGACCCTAAACATTCATGTAGTTGGTTTGCATCTAAACTTTCAAATATTCTACTTTAGTACCTAAATTTTGTATTAAAAAACTGTTTATGTACTTGACATTATGTTTTATTAATCATTTAACAAAAATATGAACAAAGAAAACTTTTCAGCTCATCTCAAACTACACATACTTCTCACATAATAATCAGTTCCATGTGTAAAATTCTAAATATTCAAAGATACATATTTCAAGAACAAGCTAAACATTACAAACACTGAAGAGATACTAAACGGGGGAAAACATCATGGTCAGTAAGCACACCTTTCATTACTAAAGACTAGGGGAATGGGGCTATCGTGAAACTTCTTTGAATCTGCACATGAACAGCAAAGTAACATGGCAATCCCAGTGTCTGATTCAGGAATACGGCCTATAATATAATGAGTTAAACAAATAATTAGACCGTTGGGTGTAGCGACCAAATAGAGGAATGGTATGACACGCTAACCAGACATAAAAGCAACCTTTGCAACCCAGGCAGATTGCAGATCTCTTTACCAAGGAACAACCAATTGCACTTCGGATGAATTCTTCTGTCTTGTCCAAAGAAAAATTCTGGCATGCAGTCATGATATCCCGGAGGGTATTCCCATTCTCCAAGTAAATGTACTCTGGTGGACGTTTATTTGAGCTGCCAGCATGTAGTTCAAATAGAGTAGGGGAAACGACCTGCATTATTAAGAGAGGGATTAACAAAATTTCTCTAGCATTTTCATTTATTTGACCATAAACAAAACTTACTTCGTTTCCTTGACAGTTAGTACAGTAACAAATTATCCCCGAGCCGTTGATTACTCCTTCAAGCCCAGTTTCTCCTTGTGCTCTAGTCTACAAAAAGCATGTATAAGAAAGCAAAATAGATTTTTTCTTTTTTAAGGAAAGCAACTGCAAAGTGAATCAATACCTTTGAACCCCTAATATATCTCACTTGAAGTCCCTCCAAAATACCCGTATCCAGAAGGTCTTTCAACTTGGCGGGAAACTTCTTCGCAGACATTTTCTTCAGCTTTGCCATTTTAAGCTTCGTAGGAGGTGTAGCAAATGGGTCAGGAAAGTCCTCGGGTTTGGTATCAACATCATTTTTGATAACTGGCATTGTCGTACACGAATCAGATTTTGTAAGGATTTCTGCAGAGATCATCGTGGGCTCTAAGTTTGGTTTTAAGGCCGAACGAGTAAAGCGCTTACGAGGCTGCAGAACCTTCGTCTTCTTCTTCAACTTACCATCATCCACAGTAACTGACGCCGACCCGTCCACTGCATCCTCTGAGGGAACATTTCTGCCCTCCTCCCCCAAATCCCCACTCGTTAAAATCCATTCAGATTCCTTTTTCAACGTCTCCTCAGACTCCTTCTCGAGTGATAGCTCCACCTTAACATCAACCAATTCCCTATCCCTCGCCAAATCCACTGTTTCATGGCTGCTCGGATCCTCACTGTCCAACAGTTCCTCCTTCAATTCCTCCATACAAATAGCATTCGATGCCTCATCCTTAGTTCCAGTATCACCCGTAGATTCATCCACGTGACTCTTAGGTTCCTCGTCGCTCACAAGGTCTACGATATCACTCTTCGCCTCCTCTTCACTCATAGAATCCGCCATATCTTCCATAACCTTCACTTTCTCGACCTCTCTCACCTCAACACTCGTTAACTGGGCAGCCTCACTCGATTCCTCATCTTCCTCGTCTTCCTCATCATCCTCATCACCCCCATTGGCTTCCATCGTCACTAACCCCTTCAACCTCTTGGAGGTGGTACTCTCCTCARTCGCATTATGCGACTTCCTCGAACGAGTCCGACCCAACGACCCACAAATCTCCGATTGAACTTTCAGGGCGAATGCAAACTCACGCTTAAGGCCGGTCCGGACCCGGGACAAAACCACAAACTCTTCCGGAGCGGTACCGTTCGCCATATACCAGATTAACCCCTGGAGTTATCCCGCTCGCCGGATTCGAATGCGAATTGTCCAAGTAAAACAAGAAACAGATTGATTTCTTAACGTTTCGAATTGAACAACGAAAACAAAAACAAAAAAACACAGAAACGATTAAGATTTTACTCTTGTGATTGGAAAACAAAAAATAGGGTTTGTCGAACGTCGTGATTAGAGATTTTGTGTTGCGGAAGGGAACAGGGGAGGAGGAGGAGGAGGAGGGGAATAAGAGCACTAAGTCGGTTTCTTGGGAGAAGGCAAAACGAAAAGGGAGAAGGCGCACCAAATCTTTCATTATAATACCAAAAATAGCCCTGGGAGGGCGAAGACTGCAGAGATTAGGGCAAATGGGGGAGACCGCAATACGACGTAGTATAAGGATGGGATTTGGAAGGAGTAGATGGTCATATGATGAGTTGGTTAGGGGCAATTTCGTGCGGGAGAAAAAACAGAAACGCAATCGCTTCGACGACGCTGCTCCACGTTTAATTATTATTAATATTTGTTTTGTGAGGAAACAAGTTTTTTGAAAAACGAGAATTTTCGCGGCTTAGACCTTGGAGCCTTTACACAGAGAATCGCCTGCCAGCCAATCACAGCTCGCCATATATATTTTTGCCCTTTTTTTATTTTCTAATTTACGCCGTCGAATTCGCGGGAGATTTACCGGAACTGGGCCGGATTCGCCATCTACGATACAAGGCCCATTTCTTCAATATCTGAACCTGAACCGAGACGGTTCGGTTTTTTAATACGCTCTGGTTTCGGACGGATACCCCGATCTTGAATTTACATAATGTTTTTTTATTATAGCATAAAGTAAATATATACTTCATATTTGAAATTTTACTAAAAATAGCACTGTTCAATTTAAATACAAATTCAATTATGAAGTAAAATATATTATGAAAAGTCAAACTTATGTTGTGTTTGAAAATACATCAAAGTTTGTACCTATTAAATTTAGGATTAGTACATATATGATCTATTTAGAATRGTCTATTTARGAGTCATAATTACGTAAAGGATGGAAAAATATAGAATTTACACTTTTGTTTAAAATAATTTTCAAATTATATGGCACCCATAASAAAAATTAGTAATAWATCCATCTCAATATTAAATTATCATTAAAATATGAAATTGGTAAATCATTATTAAAACATATTAAATTTCTATGTGCTAATTCAACTTTAAAATCTTAAAACCTCCAAAATTYTGTAACCTCTTTCTCCTCCCTCGATTTTCTTTCACTGCTCCAATTGTTGGGCTTCTTCTTCATCTGAAGCATCCGATCATTTCTCTGATATCGTCGYTATCTCTRGCAGCTCYGGTTTCTTTGTTTGCAAAACATTTCACCGTCGSCCTTCGTCGCATCTCATTCTGTTGGTTACCATTATACGGTAACATCGCCGCTGTCTCCCTTCGTCTATGGCGGCTCCATTATACAGTAACATCTAATTTCATCTCCGCCCTTCGTCACATGAATATTTYTGTCCGTTTGTTCCCATTATACCGTAGTTTATGCTATATTTAGGTTTCAATTTTGGATAAAATCGAGGTTCATCTCTTGCTCTCTGGTTCTATTGTTTAAATTGATTCGCATATACGAGTATATAGTTCTGATTTCTCTAGTTCTATTTCCGTAAATAGAACAATATCGAGAAATTGGAAGAAATAGAACAATACATAAAACTAGAGATATAATATATATCCTACGGAAATAGAACCAGAGAAATCAGAACTATATACTCGTATATTATATCTCTGGTTCTATTGTTTTATGTATCATTTATATCTCTAGTTTTATGTAGCATAAATCGGAAGAAATGAGGATTGTGAGATTTGAATATTTTTTTAATTAATAATATTGGTACATAAAGAAAATCAATTTTTTGAAGAATTTGGAGAGGTGAATTAGGGGATTTGAATTGACAATTAATATGRGGTTCACATTAATTAAAGTAATGTGATATTAATTTATGGAAATAACTATTTTATATTTAAAAAAAAAGCAAAAAACTATAATAAATTAAAATGAACTAAAATCCTATACCTGTAGAAATCTAAAACTATAGAATTATAAAAATTTAGACATATATGTAAATAAGTTTCTAAAATAGCCTAAAAAGATATTATCTCTTAAATAATTTAGGTTGTATGGTGAAAATTTTCTTCTTTTTATTGTGAATATACTACCAATTTGATCCTTATAATTTTAGCATAATTTCAATTTCGTCCATTTAATTTTAAAAGATTTAATTTAGTTTTCACAAATCGTATAAATTTGAGCCTAGCTCGATTGATCAAGGTACCTATATTCGACCAAAAGAAATGAGTTTAAAAGAAATGAGTTTGAATCTCTAACCCTATATATTGTTGTATTAATAAAAAAAGTTTAACAAATCGTTTCTGTCATTATATATTGACATGTAGTTTTAAGTGAGAATGAACTGATATTTTTTTTTTGGTTAATTGAGTATGTAAAAATAGAAGTAAATAGCTAACTAAAACATACCTCACCGGGTTATGACATATGTATCAGATGGTTTGAGATTTTTTACCAATAGAAATTTTTTGGGATGAAGATTAAAATAGGGGTGAATATGGTGAATAGTGATTAGAGTTCCTATTTTTCAAGGGCGTGTTTGTTTTCTAATAAATGTTACAAATTAATTGCAGTGATTCGAAATAATCAATTTAGTTGAAAATATACCTCTCAACAAAATTCTTAATCCGGGTGCTCTTTCCTTTTATTATAAAAATAAAAATAATAATAAAATAAAATAATCTCTAGTTGGCAATTAAGACAAATAATTTATTATAAAATGGATTTGATCTCTAATTGAAATTTTATCTACATGATTTACGTTGCTTAGATGGATATAACTTTTTAAAACTAACGAAATAAATTCACATAAATAAGGCTGTTGAACTTTGACCCTCATAATATAAAAAATTTAATACTCTCTTATCTCAATATTGAATAGAATATTAATATTTAAAGAGATTAAAAATACCATAACAGTCATTTGACAATCTCCCCCCTAAGGAAGCCATGATTTTACTTTTTTCCCCCGAGTGAAACCATGTTTTTTCTTATTCTTTTACGTTAAAAAAATCTCAAATCTTTTGTCTTTTCCCCTTAATTTAGATACCAATCATAGATAAATTATAATTACAATCCATCAGAAATTATAAATTTAAATCTTCACTCTATATTATTATAATAAAATTACTGAACAGTCAAGGCCATTGAAAAGAAAAGAAAAGAAAAAGAGCCATTGAAATCAACAGGTAGTGGCAACATAAAAATACAAAAAAAAAAAAAAAGATACTCAACCTGGGAATTGAGCAGAAATTCCAAGTTGCAACAATAAAATGCCAAAAGGATTGAATTGCCCTGCAATATATATAAGTATTAACACAAGCCCTCTCTGATTTCTCCTCCGCCACGCTCCGGCCGCCGTGAACTGAGATTACTACCCCATTATTGGCCTGACTGAACACGAATGCGCGGCGGCGGCGGTGGCGGTGGCGCCACCGGTTCTTGGAAACAGAAAGTGGGTTGTGTTGGAAGAGGGGGAATCGTGTGCAGTGGTTATAAATTTAAATTAAATTGGAGGGTTCAGAAAGTGGGTTATTTTTTGCTTTAAAGTGGCATCTTCGAGGGTATATGCGTCAGCCAGCCCATGGCCACGGGCCACCCGCTGCTTCGGTCACTTTTGTTTCTCCCTCCTTTTCATTACACTCAAGAAAAATAAGACCCATATTAAAATATCTTTTTTTAAGCTCAACGTGTAGCAGTGGAGGAGTGAAATTATAACATTTTAATTTGAGATATATGTCAATTACTATTGAATTAGATTCGTTTTAATTTTAATAGATTTGTTTTGATCCAAATACAAAGATCGAAAGGAATAGACTGACATAAAAATACCAGGACCGAAATTGATATTTTATAAATAAAAAGATTACGAAAATAGTATTTTAATCTAAAATAAAATGGCAAGCCTCTGCCCTCCGACTTGTCCACTGCCAACCAAAATGTAATGGGCCGTGACATGCGCCATCTCAAAATGTCACAAAAACTGTTTTTTCCCTTTCATAAAGAAATAATAAAATAATAACACTAATTTTTTTTAAGTCGTTTGAGGCAAACGTAAGGCTGTAATTTCTTTTAAAATTAAGAATATCATGTAGAATAACTAAATATACCGTAATATCTCAAGCTATACTCACGCATGGTTGTGGTTTGAAATTGAAACGTCCCTTGATCAATTCAACTATGCAGACTGATTTGTGGTTTTTCATATAATTATTTTCTTGGTAAAAGAAAAAAATACTTTTGTTCTCTCATCACTTCAATTGCCACAATGATTTAGTCTCTCATTTTCAATTTATAACAACTTAGTTCATGTGTATATAATTTAAAATTGGTAACAATTTCATCTCTACTATGGAAAACGTCATCAAAATCAAATGTTGGTTTTCATTGCGAATACGTTAATCTTTATAATTTATAAACACATTTTGTCCCTCATGAATTTATCAATCTACATGGATGAGAAACTCCATTAAATTTTAACCACACTTTTCATGATACGGGTTAACTCATTGCAAATTTTAGACCACAAAAACTAGTTTGTTACATAGTAAAGTACGAATACCTGACCGTTATTTCAGTAAAAGTACTATAGGGCAAATATATATATATATATATATATATTTTTCCAAATACATTGTAGTATTATTATAACAAGAAATAAAAATAAAAATTTGAAGGACAGCACTTTAATACTGTGGGTGTGGTGAGTGCAATTGGAGTAGTGGGATGTGAATTTTTGGGGAACAAAACATCCATATTTTGGCCATTAGGAATCGTACTCCTACTCATCCTTGACGGGACTACTATTGTTTTTTTCCTCTCGTCAAATATTTATAAAGAATTCTACATTATCATTTTGATGTTTATTTTTTCTCAAAAGAGTGACCACTAAAAATAATAATAAAAATAAAATTAGGGAAAATGAAGAAGCTTTCCAATGGGGCTCAATTTGTGTAGATGGACGACACTGAATTTGTATCCGGCCCGTTATAGTAAGGCCTGAATAAAAATATGGCCCAATTCGAGTCCATATGGGTTTGAATAAGGCCCACCAATGGATCAGCCCGACAAGAAGAAAATACTGGTATTACTGCACTACGATGTAGGAGGGCTCGAACCTGGATCTTGAGTGTCAACACCCAAATCTCTTGTCACCACACCAACACCCGAATGTGCATATCCATCATTGTTATTGGTTTAGCAGYCAACAGTTTTTATACTGTTAGAAAAGAAAAGAAAATTTTTAGACCTTTTT